TTCCTGCGCGACACAGGCTAAATAAAACGCTCGTGCTGAAGCGCTAATAATGAGCGCCTTCTCGCAGGCCATTCTCTCTAACACTTGTCTTCCATACCTAATTTTTGTAGCTGGTAGTTAGTCTGAAATTGTCAACATAGCCATCATTTTTTAAACATTTTTTTTTCAAACTGTCCATTTAAGGATTTATTTGCCAAGGATAGTTTCAAACTATCAAAATTAATGCTTAATTGGCCCAAGGCCTCTTCCAATTTTAGCTGTCCTCAGAACCTTTTTCATCCAATTATTTCCAAATTGAACAGCATACTACAAATGCAAATAGGACAATGTACCCGACTTAAATTACAGTTAGCGACAAATATATAAATATGTATACAGCTATGTTTGTTTGACCGAAGAGAACTTCAAAGGCGACCTCTATTCCGTTTTTTAAATTTCTGTTTTAGTGCTTTTAGCAGAAAAATATAAACCGTACAGGTTCTAAATAACAGAATTTGAAACAGGATTTTGGTGGCGAAGACCCCTGGTACTTTACAGCATAAGGGATCTTCTTCGCTCTAACTGCCCTCTCAAGCCTTTCCCCCCATGTGGCTTTGATTTTAAAATCTTCCTTTGAGTTGGCAATTTTCAAAAGATCGAGGTACTGATCAATGGCGCAATATTGAGTCAGTTTTCCCTTTCGAAAAGCCACCCAACGATTCTTTAATAACTCTCTGGCCATTTAGAGGAGGAATGACACATCTTCATTGTCATCATCATCATCTTCACCATCATCCTCACTTGTGGTTTGCTCAACGTCGACACCTATGAGGGGTCATCTCAGCCAATATCCTGCTTCAAAATTTTTATCAAATTCTTTTCAGAATAGAAATTGGCGAAACAGAATAGAAATTGACGAAACAGAATAGAAATTGGCGATGTCTCTATTTCTATTCTGTTTTTCCTACGAACCGAGTGGAACCTGAGTAAGAGCCAGTTAAACGTTATAATTCATTCTCCCGATTCCCGCTCAAAGAAAATTTATTCTTGCTTGATGACCAGTCTGTTTACTAACCGTAAATTAACTATGTAATATAGAGAATCCGCCGACAGTTTCAAAATTTTGTGATTCGCTTTATTTTTTTCTAAAGGACCCTTTCAATGAACCTTTTTCGAAAATTATATCAAAAAGTTCTATGCGCCTTTTTTTTCTCCGAAAAAGCGTAAAGTTCGAAATCCGCCTAAACGGCCGTTGTCCTCCCCGTAAAGCAATGAAAAATGATACAAGTTTGGCAACTTCGTACGCTACAACGCGAAGCAATCCCGCTTTTAAATTTTGTTTTCTAGCAGATAGTCCTTTTATCTCTTAGGAAATATTAATTTCTTGTTATTTTGTTACGTTCAAGTCTGAATAGTGACCCGTTGAAATAAAGTACGTTGAACGGCTGTCACGCAAGAGGTCAAAGCCAATCTTTCAACTTGGCCAGGAATGTACCAAATACATAACCTCTCCACGTCTCTCCTGTTACTAGTTGTATATATATATATAT